CTTCTGGACTGCCGCTCACGGCAGCTGCTGGCTGCTGGCCGCTGGCTGCTGGCTACACACGGTAGCCCATGGCAACCCACTGCCACAGGGCTGCAGCCTACGCCGTTGCGACTCATGGCAGCCCAGCTCCAGGTTGAGCTGTTGTTCAGCATCTTAGCTGTGGAGGGCAGTGTCACTGGCCCTCAATGTGGGATCCAAACCGGGGCCCTCTGGCATCCCAAGCCAGCTCTTAACCAACGCGTCACTCGGCCGGCCCCAGTGTGAGTCTTTTTAAAGGGAATATCTGTGCATGCTCTTTACATAGGAGTTTGCAAATGGCTTTCTCCTATTTCACACAGTACTAACACCCTAAAACCATCTGCATTTTAAGTATCCAGAAAGCACGCTGCCAAAACTCCACTTTTTGTCCCTAAAAAGCTATCTTTAAAGGACAAGTCCCAAAACAGTTACATGTTGCTGAGGAAAAACCTGGTTTGAAAGTTGTTCAGAAATACTTGTTTTTGCTCCAAATGATTTTGGAGAAAATTTATAAAAAGCACCCCCGTACAGTCATATTTTTGGAATCAAAAGTCAGAATATATGATCAGATTTTTTTAAAGTGCTTTTTAAGAGCAAAGAGCTTCTTCAGAAATGTGGTACAGATGCTATTGGGTTGTCGGAAAAGTCATGACGCATTTTTGCGATGAAAACCAGAAAAATACATCATGATTTTTCCGACAACCCAATAAGAAACTGAAGGGGCAAAAGGAGAGAATCCTGTGCAGCCCAGACACAGCCTCACAGCCAATCATTAGCAAAAGGCTATGACAGTTCGGTGTCGAGCCTACTCAGCACACGGTCAGTCCTGTAAAGGAGTAACTGTGTTTTCTTCAGGAAAGAGAGGCAGGTTTTCCTGCTCAGGTTAGGAAGTGCCACAGGAATTTATATGCTGCGGCATGTCGAAGCCAATGTGCCTGTCCTTGCTCATTCTCTTGGTAGAAGGCTGCAAGGGGTGACTCTGGCTAGAGATTTTAACATGGCAAACCAAGATAATGAATTCTAACTGTGTAAACATGATAAGTCTCATGCTGCAGGAGGAACAACCTGAAGCATCTTGACCACTACGAGTGAACCCTGAAAATGGCATCAGGGAAAAGTAGAAAAAGAGCATTTTAGTCCGGTCAGAGGACAAGATCTATTATAGTTGACATTCAGCAG